GAATGGATGAATGAATAGATAGAATGGATGGATGGTTGGAGAAATGGATAGATGGATAGATAAACTGATAAATGAATGAATGGATGGATAGATGGATGGATGGATAGATGGATGGATGTTTGGACGAATGGATGATGGATTAATAGACGAATGGATAGATGAATGGATAAACTGATAGGTGAATGGATGGATGGACGAATGGATAGATGGATAAATGGATAGCTGGATGGTTGGACGAATGTATAGATGGATGGATAAACTGATAGATGAATGGATAGATAAAGGAATGGATAGATGGATGAATGGATGGATGGATGGATGGTTGGACGAATGGATAGATGGATGGATAAACTGATAGGTGAATGGATGGATGGACTGGCCAGTTTATGGATAACTGGTGAAAAGATACCAATAATATCGCCCCTTACCTATTAGTTCATCCAAGTCTCTGGTTTCGCCATTCGTTACGCCGTCAAGCCAAACCCGCTTTTCTCACACATACTGTAAACCGTAATGCTGAAAGAAAACGCTAAAAATGATATATTATCCCACATTATTTAATTTGTATTTATACCCTTCTACCGCGAAGCCCCTACTTGCTTCCATATATCGTCATTTTTGGTACCTGAGTTGCCAGTTTCTGCTTTCTTGTCCAATCGCCGTGACCAATCTCACGCCAACCGCCAGCGCCACACTTGAGCATGACATGTGCTATGTAAAGCAGAAGTGGTCGGCGTCGGCTGTCACGTCTTCGTGCCAGATCCGCATCATCCGTTTGGACCAGCCAAAGTACGAGCTTGGCGATCCGGAAATTCGCCATACGCGCAAATATAGATACGGATAAGCTGCTGTTTTAGACATACAATTGTAACTTTGCTCCTCACTGGCAATCTGTATAGTTGTTTACTTCGTCAGACGAGGCTATCATAAACTCGAGCATTTTTGGCGGCCTTATCAACCGAAGTGTCATTTTTACCTTTTCTTTTCTCGTCTTTTTTCCCATTTTTCCCCTTTGCTTGCACTTATCGTGACCACTTAATTTTCTCTCCTTCATTCTTTCGTATCTCTTCTGTCCCTTCTTTTATTTCTTCATTGTTTTCTCTTTTCATCATACTCGTCCCCTTCCACACAGCCGACTTGACCGTTGGTCTTGTCTGCTTTTATAGCATATTTTGCAGCTTTACATTGTTTACATTGCATGCAATTGCCTATTAACTTCGTAATTTGGCTTATTCAAAAGCAGCGACACTTTTTGCTATTTATATCAAATAATCGCTTATTAAATACATACATTTGTTTAGTTTGCTGCTCTCTGGTCGCATTCTTGCCTTCTGGCCTTGATTTATGAAGAGGATGTTACAGAAATCTTTAATGCTTACGAAACCACACAGTTTGGAGCTCAACCTGGCATTCAAGAGCTAATTATTGTTGAATTTTTATTATATTTATGACCATTTCAAGGCTCACTGATGAAGCCAGAATGTTTCTATATCTTTTGACAACAATATTTCCTGTAGGTTCGAATGGTAGGAGACTCCGATTCTGGCGAGATGTACAGAATGGATTTAAATGGAGTTAGCCTAGCTTATTTAGATGACGGCTGAATTTTCCCGCAATAAAGTGATTAGGCCTCATGACACCAATGACTTCACTTTGCCTCGCCTCCCAACAGGCAATCTTGTGAAAGATTTGCTGTAATTTTTACTTTGTATTCGTCTCATCCGCATCAAAAATGGATTCAAAACAGAGTCGGTGCAAGTTAATTGGCAAAAATGTGTCATTCCGCTTCACAATGGACATATCTATGAGGCGACATGT